AGCCTAATTACAAGGGAGTGTGAATACCAGAGAAGAGCTGACCATTAGTGTAATCTCTCACCATTCTTTCCAGTTAATGAGCTGCTGAAAAGAATAGAGATGAAAGTGAGTGCCCTTAACTTTCTGGAAGTGTAATTTATCCAATTCAGCACCCTTCTAAATGTGCATCCAAGCTATAGAATCTTGTAAACTCAGTTGAACCGGACTAGCATTGGCTTGGTATTGGGGATTACTTTGTTCCTTTAAAATCCCCTCTTACAATCACATTAAATGCATACTAAGCTCTCTGCATTCCGGAACACATGCGTATGCAGTTGGTGGACTCATCCTGATGGTCAGTCTCAGCTTTCCTCTTGTTTCTCACCTTTGGAACTCTTGCATGGTGATATAACAAATTGTTTTCAATATTGATTCTATTGACTACCTGTCCTGCAATCCTTAAGACGTTGAATATACAAAATACAATAGAGTTGTCTATATTTGTGGAAAACAAATTGGGATATGCTACTTATTTTGGGAATTGTTGACCATAACCAGTTCATACAGTATATATTGCGCACATTAATCAATAATTGCTAGATAACATTTCCATTCCAATGAGTTTAAAGCTGTCCACCTGTTTCTGAAATTTACATAGTCCAGCCAGCCAGCTGACATGACATTTCTCTCTGTAGTTAATCAGAATAGTTAGGACTCTTCCTGTGTGACTAACAGTTATAGAGAAGCAGCAGACTGGTGAGTTCATCCCTTGGCTCTCTGTTTCTGTCAGGATTTTCCTTGTCAGCACATGTGCATGTAAAACCACATGATTAGTCCAAAGTGCGACCCCTACGTCTCTCAGCCTGGGTGTTGCAGTATGGTCAATTGCAACAGGCAAAGTCGAGTAAAATTCACATAGTTATTAGCTATTTTTCAAGTGCCTCTGTTCATCTGGAAAATATCCAGTAGTCCCCTGGAGTTACAAGCACATTAAATGGGGATATTTAAAAAGAATGTTGTCTCACCTTCTTTTACTTTAAGGTCCATTTACACTTGTGCTACTCCAAAGTCGTGCGATTTCACAGGTCTGCAAAAAAAGTTTTTTCAAGAGCTGTTTTGGTTATTCCGTGTAATCTTTATGTTTTTTGGTGCGCTGAATCCGAAAATGACCTCCATTTTGTCATAGGACATCACGTTTCCTGACAATTTAGGTAACTATGTTAAATAAGGCAATACCTCAAAATAAATGGAAATAGACTTAAAAAATTAAAGTTTTATTACAATTTTTTCATGAAAATCCTTTTTTGAACTGAAATGAGCTCACCTACACACACTAAACTCGATTCTTCTTCCCTGTGAGGCTCCTCTTGGTGCATTTACGCTTGAGAGTAGCATCTGGAATGTCTCTCTGAAGCATCCAACAGTAGTCTGCCATCATTGTAATGCTCCATTTTCCCTGGTATCTCCTTTCCATCTCTTTAATGTCTTGGGGGAATCGTTCACCTTGTTCCTCACTCACAGCTCCCAATTTTTCAGGAAAGTAGTCAAGGTGGGACTGGAGGAAATGCACTTTCAAACTCATCAGGCAACCTAAAACTTTAAATGCTTTCAGCATTCGTCCGACGATCTTTTTGTAGTGAGGATCTTTGTTATTGCCTAAAAATTTCTGTATGACTTCTTTAAATGCAATCCACCCTTCTTTTTGAGGATTCGTCATGGTATTGACAAACTCTTGATCAACTATAAGCCTTCTAATGTCTGGTCCAACGAACACACCTTCCTTCAATTTTGCCTCCGACAGGCCTGGAAACTTGGTGACCAAGTATTTGAAGCATTCTCCATCTCTTGGAAGTGATTTTACGAATTTCTTCATCAATCCCAATTTTATGTGGAGAGGTGGTAGAAGAACTTTATGGGAAGGTACCAACGTTTCTCGGAGGACATTTTTTTCACCGACTGTTAGCACCCTCGGCTGCCAACTCTTCTTGGTCCAGTGATTTTCGGTCTCGACTGTCCCATAGACACAGAAAACAAGGGTATTTGGTATACCCAGCTTGTTGCCCGAGCAGCATGCACAAGACCTTCAAGTCCCCACACACTTGCCAACCATGGTCTTCATATTTAAGTTTACGAAGAACCAATTCCAAGTTCTCGTAGGTTTCCTTCAAGTGTACGGAATGACCTACAGGTATGGAAGCGTAAAAACCACCGTTGTGGAGTAAAACTGCTTTGAGACTTCTTTTTGAAGAATCTATAAAAAGACGCCATTGCTCTGAATCATATTGGATTTTAAATTGGCCCATTAGACCTTCGACATCGATGCAATAAACCAACTTGTCTTCCTGGGCGAAGTAAGGAACGAACTCCTTTTAACAATGTCTGAACCATGAAGATAACACTCCTGGCAACAATAAATTCCTGATTTTCAGCCTTGATCCGAGAAACTCAGCGCCATCTTTGGGAAGATTCAAGTCTCTTACCAAATCATTCATCTCCTCCTGAGAAAACAATTTCGGTCTTGTATCATCTTCAAAGTCAGAACTTGATTCGTCATCTGGTTCAGGTATGACTTCACCTTCATCGGAGCTAGGTATCTCTTCCAAGGTAGCAGGGGGCTTGGGTACTGGTATATCTGTGCCATGGGGGATGGGACGAATTGCTGAGTGAAGATTGGGGTATGAAATGGAATGCTTCCATTTGGAATTAAACCCTTTCACATCGCATGAACAAAAGTAACAGCCGTCACTATGGTTCTTTTGCTCTCGCCATACCATAGGAATCCCATAACGGAAAGATTTTTTCTTACCCTTGAACCAGTTTCGGAGGTCCTCAACACACCGTTTGCACACTTTATGAGGCGCCCAAACTTTATCTTGATCTCCAATTTTTAGTCCAAAGTATGCTAAGTATACTTTTTTCACAAAGTCTGTAATATTCTGCTGTTGCTTCAACACTGTATATTCACCACAGATGAATCAATACACTTTCACGGAGCCATAACATAACGGTTGAAGAATGACGAGCTAACACGAACTGCAATGAAAAAGTGTGAACAGCTTAGAACCAAGAACCTGATGATGATTCGTGCACAAGTGTGGACTTCAGGAGAGCGCAGCTCTGTGTCTGTACACAGACATCACAGTGCTGGCCACGCCCCCCTGCACTGACCGGAGCTGCTGCTATCTGCCCTGTGTCTCCCTCCCACTGGATTCTCCAGGAAAGATTAACCCCTTCTACCATTAGAAGCACAGACTCAGGGCTGAGGCTTACACATACAGCATGCTGCTGAGTATCCCAGTAGTCAGACATGTCACTCAGAGCAGCACTTGTATTCACCCCCTTTGCAGGGGGGGAGGGGCAGAGATTGTTTACCTGCAAATAACAAAAAAGGGCCAGAAGAGAACTAGGGAAATGAGGAAATAGAATTTTTTTCCCCTAAAACTTGCTTAGCTAATGTATATATTGCTTACCATCAGATTTACAGTGCTATTTTTTTTTTTTTACATAACTTGGACAACCCCTTTAAGTTTTTTTTGGCATTTTATATCTTAAATGCACTTATGTGAATTAATTAATAGTAATTTGGACTTTAAATTTGGTTAAAAACCCATAGTATAAAAAAAATACCAAAAATTTTAAAAATTTGATAAAGTTGAAGACAATTTTTCAATATTGTATTTGTTTTCAGCACACCAAAATACATGGAAATTAGATGAAAATAATCAAACAGCTTTTTAGTCGCAGACCTGTGTTTCAATTGCAACTTTACATCGCGACTTTGATGCAACTTTGGGTGGGTGTGACTAGGATCTGACTTTGGCTGTTGACTTTGACTGTTGCACAACTGTCACATTGATAGCCTTAAGATGCAACTTTCATGAGACTTTTGAAAGTTCACATTGCAGTCTATGGCACTCACATCACATGAAAGTCACATCAGAGTAGTGCAGGAAACTTTTTAAAGTCGCTGCAACTTTAAGTTGCATAGATTTGAAGGCTTCCATTGAAGTACATGGGCTGCGACTTGTCATGTGACTTTATGTGTCCAAAGTTGCATGACAAGTCACATAAGTGTGAATGGAGCCTTAGGGATGAGTTGAATGCACCCGGGTTTGGTTTGAAATCAATGGGAGCCTAATCTTAGAAATCAGTAATGGCTATTTTCTATTTAATAGGCATTGTATTGTCAAATAAAGAACATGGGAAACTGGGAAGTGGCCTGGGGAACAAGTACCTATGCTAAAATGGTTTAAATAATGAATGTTTAGAGGAGATAGGGTATTTTTAGGTAGCTCAAAAGCAAACATTGAAAATGCAAAAGGTCTTTAAAGTTGTTCATGGGGGATGCCATAATGCTGTAGATGGTTTGCAGAACATTATGATTCTCGGGGACAGCAACAATGACACCACATTGTAGCTTCACATAAATTGCATGTATAATGATAAAATAATTATAGAGTTAATGCTATAAACTTCATACAAATTGCCAAACAGTGGCAAAACAAGTCACCTAGTTGTTTGTGAGCTTATATTTAGTACTGCTCTGTATTGCATACAAAATGTCAACCTAGAGTGCACCAAAACACCTCCAAAGTAACAATTTGGGAATGAGGCAATTGTTTATTCTTGAAAATAGCACGCACTGTGTGGCACACTCCCAGTACAAAGACAGGTACGCAAGTATGCGGCCCCATGGAAAAAAGCCCAGTCCTGTGAGGCCGCATATTTGTGTTACGTCGGCGTCAAGGGGTTAAGATACTGACAAATCCAAAATTTCACAGTTTAGCACCACAGATATTAAGTCCATAGGGAAAAGCTACAATTTCTGAGTGAGCATATTGCATCTAAAAATGAACAAAATTATTGTCTTGATTCAGAGACTGAAAAGGGAAAAAATGTACAGTTTTGAATCATGGCTGTTCAAAATATTCCCTTAGATAATAAAGTATTCCTAAACCTAGGACCCTGCATTCACTGTATCTGGTTTCCCACAGTACACAGAACATGGAAATGCAATTATTTTAGTAAATATAAAGTGCTAAATACCTTTTCTCATCAGCAGTTGGAGCAGTCTTGTGACTTCTGTCAGTGTTCAGCAGAGCACATGTTAAAACTTGTAGGAGGAGTTTTCTTTCTGCTCTATGAGGATGCAGAATCTATGAACTCTGTCTGGACAGTGCAGTTTCAGCCTGTGCTGATCACATGCACTCTCCCAATCAAATAACAAACCTCTCTAGCAATAGAAAACAAACTGAGCATGTGCAGAGTGTCTCCACATCAAATACCTTATCAGGAGATAAGAGAGGAACACTGGAAGAAGGAGAGGATCAGAGAAGTCAAGATCAAACAACCTTTTCACACAGTGCAGAGGATAAACCCCTTAGGTTCCACAGTGAGTATATCAAGCATGCTTTACTGCATACAGAGACGATTTTCCCGCTGTGGGTTTAGTAAGACTTTAAGCAGGCATATTGCATCTGGAGATATAAAATTAATGTTTAGTTGTTTAAAATAACATTTAAAATAAACAATTGCACAGATTTGCAGCACACCTTTGAAGCATTTACTGAATATGCCACAATTTCAGAGGGAGAGAGCAAACATATTGCATGTGGAAATAATGAATGTCTTGATTCAGAGACAGACAAAGCAAACATTTTACAGTTTAGCACTATAGATGTTAAGCCTGTATAGGCAGGCTGCAGCCTCTGAGAGACTGAGTGGATATCTGGAAATAAAGGAGTAGTGTCTTGATTCAGAGACTGAAGAGGGAAATGTTTTCAAATTTTACATCACAGTTATAAAGCCTTTTTGGACAGGCCATCATTTAGCATGGATTGAGCTGGTATATTGCATCTGTAAATACAAAATTATTGTTTTTATTTGTTTTAAATTTAAAAGAAAAAAATATTACAGTTTTGCAGCACACCTTTATGAAGGCTGTGATGTATAAGTGAGAGAGTAAGCAGATTATATCTGCAAATTAAAAACAAATTGTCTTCCTTTTTCACAGACTGAATAAGTAAAAAATTGACAGATTTGATGCTAAACTTGTAATCCTTTTTGGCCAGGCAATTTTTGCTGAGAGAGAGAGCAAGAAGAAGAGGAGATAGAAATAAGATTTTTTTCCCAAGAATGATTTAAGGCAGTACATGTTAACAGATTTCCATCACAGCTTTTAAGCACATCTTTTTTTCACTTTTGGACAGGTCGATAATGTTGAAGTAGAGAGCAAGCAGACTGCATATGAAAGAAATAATTTATTTTATATTTATTTGAAATTTTAACCAGAAAAATGTAAGTCATTTCAAGTACACCTTTAAATCCTTTTTGGATAGAACACTATTTCTGATGGAGAGCAGGCAGATTTTAGCAATAAATATAAATATATTATGAATCTCTGTGTAAACATAATATAAATATGCTACAGATTTGCTGCAGAGAATATCATCCTTATTAATGGGAAGATAATTTTGCAGCAGAGATTGGGACTATTTCAACTAGAAATATTACCTGAAACTGCATTGTTTTAGACACAGTTTTAAAAAGTACACAAAAAATCTGATCTATTTTAATAGGAAGCACATTTGGACAAAGAGAGTCCACTTATGTCAGCCAGAAATAAGATTAATAAATGTATTTTATAAAAAGGCATGATATGAAAACTAAAAGGAATTTCACCCATTTTAATTGGAACTAGTCTGGCAGACAGTAATGCGTCCTAAATCCGCATTATAAAAAAAATAATGAAAGTACATTTGTTAAGATGCCACTTGTCATTTGTACAGATTTGCTTAACAGAATTGTATCCTTTTTTATGGAAGAATATTTGGAAGGCAATAAAATGGCATATCTCAGACAGATCAAATGAAAGTGTATTGTTTCCAAAAGCAGTTTTCAAACATTTTTTTTTATAAACTGAGTGACATTCTTTATGATATGAGGTGGCTTTGGAGGCAGGAAGTAGGCATTGTTCAGAAAGAAATATTGAGTGATTTTTCTATAGCAACACTGTATAAAGATTGTACACATTTGAGGCACAGATTCTCATACTTTTTAATATGAGGCAGTTTGGGAGGCAGGGAGTTGGTATCTATTAGGCAGAAATATAAAATATTTTTTTCCCTCAAACATTATATGAAAGTTTAACAGATTTGATGCAAAGAATCACATCTTTTTTTTTTTGATCCAAGGATATTTCAGAAACAGTTAGAAATAATACTTCAGCCAGGAAAATATAATCAACGAGACTGCTATTTTTTACAGAAGCTACTGTATATTTATAATGGTAATGATATGCTGCACTGAATCTCTTCTTTTTTAATAGGAGAGAGTATTCCTAATACAGCCATAACAATAAAGGTATAAAGTAATTTAATTTTGAAGCTAGGTTAAAATTGTAAAGATTTCATGCACATAATATCCTTTTAAATACAATTACACTTTAAAAGCAGAGAGAAGTCATATTTCAGGCCAAAATATTCAGTAGTACTAAAATGTTTTGTGCACATAATTTACAATTTATACAGCTGCACAAAATCTAATCATTTTCTATTTGAGGCTATTTAAGAGGAGATCATACTCCATTTTTGTTTTTTAAAAAATTAAAACTGTATTACTCCTGTACAAACAAAATCAATGGGGTACTAGCTACAAAAATGTAATGTATTTTGTATGGGCCACAAAATTCAGAGTTAGGTAATAAGAATGATGGTTTCTATTTAAAGAATCACTGTTAGGCCATACTATGTACTTTAAAGAACATGCATCCACAATAATTCTGAATTGTGCCAGTGTACTGAAATAGGGTCAAAAGATCAATACAAACAGCATGATATAGCCAGTATTTAAACCAAAACATTTCAAACTCAGAAAAACAATATGGAAACATTAAGGGGTCTATGCAAAAAAGGTTTTTGTGCAATCCCATAGAAATACTTGTGCAGAGCAAAGGCTGTTACCTGCCAAAAAATGTTACATTCTTTGCAACGCTGTACCAGCTGTGGAAAAGTTGTGTTTCGGGGTGTAAGTGGTGCTAAAACACTGTAGCTCTACAGAAATATTTGTGCAAAGCACAGAATGTTACCTGCCCAAAAAAGTTAACATTTTTTTCATCTGTGAAACATCTGTGAAATTGGAAGTGCCAAACTAGAAGTGCCGTTGAAATGAACAACAGAATTGGGCTCAGTATGAAATGATAATTGTTGCAGGCTTACAGTGGTGGCAGTAGATGTTAACGGTGCCAGGCCCATAGTGGTAAAAGAAAGTTTTATCAGAGGCTGGGCTTGCTCATGCTGCCAGCAGTGGCAATGAAGGCAGGAGTGGTTCGGTTTAGCAAATGTTAGCTGCCCAACCATGTCCGGGGACAGGTTGGACTCTTTTTTGTCTGTCACAAAGCAGCCTAAAACAGAACTTAACCCATAACAGTTTGATAATAATTAATGTTTTTTTAACAAAAAAAAAAACATATTATTCCACAATAATAATTATGCAGCCAAATTTAGAATGTGATGTAAATTGCATCCAGCCATGCTCCTTTATCTTCTTGCTGGAATCCAGGATTTTGTTGACGCCCAGAACAGTCACTTTCTTACTGGAAACTCTACCCCTTTCCTTGCTCTCAAAAACTATATGTCATGTTCTTCAATTAACAAATGTACATTTCCAGCCTTGGTTGTATGTCTTGGCTGCGTTAGAAGGGAAGGCTAACAGAAGCTTTACAATGTTGAAGTTCACAGGCTGACATTGAGCAAGAAAATAGAGAATGTCAGGGAGATAAGCCTAGACACTCTCTTTGTAAGCTTAACTCTTTTGTGTCTCCCTGGCTGCAGAGTTTGTCCTATCAACTCTCCTGTTTTTCTTTTCTCCTTCCCTAATATGCGTTCCCTCGGTACAGTCACAGTGTCATTCCTGTTGCTTTTTTCCCCCTTCAGCAACAAAAAATCTTAAAGCTATCAGCTGATCAGCCCCTAATGGCTCTAATTTTAGGCACACTGCACCTGAGCATGTGCAGAGAAGGGCAAGACAGTGCATTACTGGATTTTGCACTGCATAGGCACTCATTTTTAATGTTTTACATAACTATTCCTGCAAAAGGGGCCAGCTTGAAGTAATCTATCAGGACATAATTTTCTGACTAAAGTTGGACTTTCAAATGTTTAATCAGAGACGACACTCACTGCAGGGCAGCCCAACAGCTTGAATGCAAGCTGGGCATGCTCCAGCCAATGGTCCATCCTTGTTACCCAAGGATGTAATTTGTTGGAAGTGTGTCAACATCTGCCCTTGCCCATGTAATCTCCCATCATATGATAAAGTAACTGCCGATAGCTGCTGTCAGCAGACAGCCCTGTGCACTGGGTACAGACAAATTATTCGAATGCCTCATTTAAGCATGCACCTCCAACTTTCAAGGACAGCAGGTTCCAAAACATGATTAAGAGAGTATACTGCCAGCCTCTGGAAAGGAAGTTAACAGGTTCCTGCTCAGCATTTCCTCCACATGTTTCATTTTGATCCCTCTGTGAGAATGGGCTCTGCAAATTTCTCCTTGTAACATTTATTCAGGAGAATTGCCAACCAGTAATGGTCTCTCTAATTGCATGAATCCTAGGGTTCTTTCACAAGCTCTGGAGCATCAATGTTTCCATGTGTCAAACGGTAACATAGGAGGTCCGCAATTTGTCAGAATCGTCCTCAGCTACATTCCAACTCCTTGGGGTTGTGAGGGATGGGGGCCTGGAAGCGCGCCCCCTGTCCTCCTTCTCTTCAATGCCACCAGGGCAGCCAAAATCCTCATACCCCTCCTATGGCTGCTGAGGCCTCCCAGGGATGGTTTTGGGATATAGCAGGCTCTAAGACACCAGAAGGTCCTCCTTTCCTTCCTGCTGCTGTGTCTCCATTGCATGGTCTACCATGCCAATCAGTGTCTGCTCCAGCAAGAACACTACAGGCATAGTTATGCCCGCATTGTCACAGCTCACCATTCTGGTTGTCTTCTCAAATGGTAACAACATAGTGCATGCGTCCTGTATGAGGAGCCACTGACATAAGGGAAAAGAACCCAAGCTACCCCAAGCCTGCCTTGTGCCAGCACAGGTGCTTATTTATGGCCTGCTGATGAATGTACTGAAGCATGGCAAAGGTATAGTTCCACCAGGTAGGCATGTCACACATCAGAAAATCTGCAGGCAGATGGTGTTCCTGTTGAAGCTCACCTAACTGCACACTGGATGGATATGTCCACCTGAAATTGCTACAAACTCTTCATGTCTGTTTCAGAAGATCCTACATGTCATGGTGCCTATCCAGGAAGCACTGCATCACCACGTGGAGGATGTGTGCTAGGC